TGTGTGTGTGTGTGTGTATGTGCCCATTTATGAGTGTTTTTCATGTTTCATGTGTTTTAGTTTATCATTCAGTCTGAATATGATAATCTGAAGTATCATTTGTCTTTTTTATGTGTCCACTCTGGTTTAAAACAGCTTCTAACAAGCAAAGAAAAAATAAATATTGCTTAATTTGAATTCAATTAAGATTATTAGATTCTGACAGACGTCCCGACAGTGTCAGTGCTTTAAATCTTATTTTATCACTGCAGCACAGAACAACATGAGGAGAAATAAAAGCAGAAGCCTTGTATGGCTCTTTTACCAGAGAAAAAGAAACATTTCAGTAAGACTGAGCTCACCACACATGCTTTGCCCCTCTGCCTTGGCAGCATCAGACAAAAGAGCAAAAACATTTTTAACACATTAAATCCCTCTGCTTATTTACAGTTTAGCCTCAGCCTGACTTAAGGGGATAGTTCCCCCCAAAAGGAAAATTCACTCATTATCTACTATGCCGATGGAGGGGTGAGTTTAAATACAACTCGAAACAGTGTCAATTAAATAAACACTGTTTACCCCTGGAACTCCAAAAGTTTTTTTGGGATGTGGTGTCTGAAATGCCATGTATTGTGTTCTTTTTAAAGGAAGCTGATCTCTAGGTCTGAGGCCCATAGGCCCTGGGACAATCGGAGGAGGTTAAGGTTGTCGGATATAAACTGAATGTATACATTAGGGCATTAGATCATGGCTCTAACTGTCACCCTAAATTTGAACTGGAGGAAAGCCAGATGTGTTTTCTACAGATTCACGAAAAAAACTCACCTATATAAACAGGGAGTTGAAGCTGTTAGGCAGAAGAGATTCACATTGGCCCCGGATCTCTCTCCAGGCAGACTGCAGTGCTTGCATTTATGCTGAACTTTTTGTAATAAACCTTTTATACAATCAAGACGGTGTCATCGGAGATTCCTTCATCATCTTCACATCATCGCTACCCCAATATGAAACAGGGACTCAATCACATCACTCACCCTTCCATCGGCATAGTGGTGATTAGATAATGAGTGAATTGGAATTTTTGGGCGAACTATCCCTTTAACTACCCTATCATGCCTAGTGTTTCTTTTCTTGTCACATGATCATATTGGCACTTTTTTTGTCGCTATATCTAAATTTTGCTGCAGGTATCAGTGTTTGTTCTCATATCATATTAATACGTTATTTATGGTTCTGACTGTTGTTTGTAATAAATAAGTCTGGCCCTGCCACATGAGCCAGAGTTAACTGAGGCAGTTGACAAGCAGCTTCGTAGTACAGGTTATCAGGATGGCTGATGTTAGGCTCAGAGAAGCCTGATAACTAAAATATAATCTGGGTAAATTGAACTTGCTTGGACGTACAGGCCTCTGCTCTCAGGGAAACAAAGAGGTGTAACTGCATTCTTTAGATTATTTGAGCTTCAGAGGATGTTATGTCATTCGGTCAAAAGGTTGATGTTGAGGTGAGTCATTGGTGTTGAAGTCAAAGTTTAGTTTACTCACCTGCACTTAGAGTCTCATTCCTATGAAACTGAGCACAAGCAGTGAGTGTGGTCTCTTGTACAGACTGAGACAACATGGTTTCACTGTGATTTTCATCAATAAACTCTGACGTATGTGAAAGGAAATATAGACTGATAAAATATATTTAGCAGCGCAGAACATCCAATGGTTTAACTCACTGAGTACAAATTAGATATATAAGAACGGTATGCAAGACATTTGTATTATTGTCAAAGTTAATGGTAATTTAGTTGTAAATGCAGCTTGATTAGGGTTTTCAAGTCATTCCATGATCACAATGGTTTTATAAGACACCCCAATAAAGATTTGCATAGGTTTTTGAACTAAAAGGAATGGAAAAAAATGGAGGAAACTGAAAGGCTGTGGAAAACTGCAGTAAATTGAAATGTAGGCTCAGATGCTAAAATATACACAGGGAAACAGAAGCAGACGCTGTTTCTGTGAAGCAGAGTTCATGGAGCTGCAACTGTTTGCAATTGTTGTGAGAGCAGAAAACTGATCACTCAATGTCCCTGATGTCCCAGATAAAAGACAGAGGAACATCCTTCATTTCTTTTTTGAAGACCTCGTCAAACCTCTCATTCTGGGCCACAGTGAAGTGGTTCTTCCAGTCACCAATGGTGCCTGATGTTGCCGGTACATGGAAGGAGAGAGAGAAGGAGAAAGAGAAGATTGTGGTCATTCATCCTCACTCTGCCATGTGTCCTTAGTCTGGATATCCATTCCAACAGCACACTACTTTAATATTGTGTGGAATTGTTTGTGTTCGCTGCTTAATTATTTACTCAGTAAGCTAATGCAGTACAATAAGTAATCTCTTTGGCATAAAAAGGGAAACAAACTGTACCTTGGATGTGGAGAACACACTGATACAGAAAAATGGTTTACGCCGGTGAACTCTCACAAACTTGTGTTTTCAGCTTCTTTCTACTGCCGTCGTGGCCAATAAAGTAGAGTACTGCAGATTTTCGGTGAAAATGTCAGACTGGAGACTCCTCATGGTGCATTTTTGAAACAGCATTTCCCGCATTAAAAACCAGACCATTATCCAGTCTGCCCTAAATCTCTTGGATTCATATTTACAGTCATTGCTACACTGTGCATCGTTTAGAAGATGAGGCTCTGTCCCTGTCTGTTATTTTTACTGGGTTGGGATTACAAGTACAGAGTTATTATACAAGCACATCCATCTAACCATCCGCCCATCTACCCACTCACACATCTCTTTATTCATCTCTCTATCCATCCACCCATCCATCCATCCATCCATCCATCCATCCATCCACCCACACACCCATCCACCCATCAATCCATCCACCCATCCACCCATCCAGTCATCCTTCCATCCTTCCATCCATCCATCCATCAATTCTTCCATCCATCCATCCATCCATCCATCCATCCATCCTAACTAACTCAGTATTGAATGACACCTGAAGCCGTAAACACTTTCACCTTTCCTCATGAATGTTCCCTGGTGGTGGTTGAGCAGATCACCTGGCACCTGTTCATAGTTGGCATGAGGGATCCTCTTCATGTTGTTGAAAGTGCTGTGTTTCACCACATTTGCCAGCTGCTCATCAGTCAGCTCTTTACCCAGGAACGAACAGATCCTCCTCACTGCAGACTGCAGGTCCTGAACCAAAGCACAGTTGCACAAAGATCTTTTTTTAAACCCACTTTGACTCATTTTACAACAAAATGTTATGACATTGTGTGGACAGGCAAAGATTGAAATGATTTCAGTTCCTACCTGAATCATTTCTTCATAAGTGATGAAGAGCATGTTCATATCATCCTTGTGTGAATGGTAAATCTTAACATGATCAAACCAGCAACACCCAAACACTGCAATGAATAATGCACAATGTCACTATCGCATTTGAGAAGTTCGCTGCACTGCTGAGAAAACACCAGAGCAAAACTACTTTTACCGTCTCCTCTCAAAAATTTGTCAAAGAAGTCGTTGAAATCCCTCGGCGTTTCCAACATGTTTGCAACCTTATGGAAGTGGTAGTAAGACACAAGGACATCTTTGGGATTTCTTGCCACGTAGATCACCTAAAGGAGGCAAAGTGTGGGAATCAACAGTAAACAACCTTTTCCTGTGTAGTGATGACTGACTGACTTTTAATTGCCTTGTTGAATTTTAAAGCTGTATTAAGATTTGGGTGTGTATCATTTCCTGCAGCTACAGAGCAGGAAGTCACAAGCCCAACAAACAGTGGATCACACAGGATGACATTTGTTGTCTATGTAGCAGTAAGGCCTAAGAAAGGAAGTGACAGTCCAACACAACACACATATATATATATATATATATATAGAGAGAGAGAGAGAGAGAGAGAGAATACCAAATTTCAACCTATGCATGATGTAGGTTGTCGTCTGAAATTGATGATAAACATGTAAGTTTTGGCCGCAATACCAAAACTTGTTTTACCTGTGCTTTTATTCTGGAAATAAAAAAGGTGGTGTTGAGGTATTGCTTCAGCTGAAAAATAATTTTGATCATTTTGGAGGCTGCAGTCTTATAGTGCATCATTGGTGCTTCTGTTTGTTTAAATGGAGGGACAAAGTAATGTCAGTACACCCCAAATACAGCTGAACAGCAGTAAAAACTACTCGCTCAAGAATTTGCATCCATAGCACTTCAAACTGAACACTGCCTGGACTTTAGGGCCTTCAAAGGGGAGGGTTTACTGCAGAGCTGTTTGAGCAGACTAACGTTGTTTAATCTTTTGTGAAACTTGGGAAATTTTTAATTGACTGACCCAGACTGCTGAAGCATCACATTAGCCTCAACTGAACTTGAGGATTCTGAGTGGTTCACCTTCTTTGAAATCATTTTAGAAATGGATCTTGTGTCCAATATGGAGAGAAGGAACAAATGATTATGAGCCACAGCATTAAAATAAGTAACTGGTGTTAGCATTTTAATAGCAGTCTATGACTCTATCCATCCATTATCTATGCTGCTTATCTTCTGTGGGTTGCGGGGGAGCTGGAGCCAATCCCAGCTGACATAAGTGTGGTTTCCAGTTTATCGCCAACATATTACTTACAATATATTGCACAATCATTCTACTAGTGCTTATTTCTTATTTTTGTTTCCTATTTTTATATTTCTACTACTACACAAATACACCACAGCAAATTCCTTGTATGTGTTAACCTGCTTGACAATACCAAACCTGATTCTGATTTTGAGACGGACAACCATTGTCACTCTCATTCTTACCTACAGTCAATTTAGTTAGTCTCCAATCAATTGCTGTGAGACACGACAAACCACTCTACCACAGTATATGTGTGTTTATTAGACTTTGGAAAGGTTTTTGCATGTCTCAGTAAAAAGAAACCACCCAGCTACAGCTGTCCTCAATACCAAGGTGGATCACATGACTCTGCTCCTTAAATCACTGCATTTACTTCCCATGTGTCACAGCACAGACTTTAAAATCCTTTTACTGGTCTGCATGAAAATAAATTCAAATGCATCTCTAATCTACTTTTATGTTATGAAGCATCCAGTGTATCAGGCCATCTGAGATGGGTTTACTCAGTGGAGTAGCTTTTAGTTTCTCTACAACCCCACTAAAACACGCTTCCTGAGAGCTGAAGTCAGATAACACTGTCAGGTCTAGGTTCAAACATGATCATACATTCATGACCTCTTTCAAGTATTTATTAACAATTGATTTTCTTGTTTTTGCTTCTTTGTTTTTATTGTCTCGTATAGGAAATCTTAACAAATTTGTCATGTATTTCCATGCACTTTAAATCACCTTGTATCTGAATGGTGCTGTATAAATAAATGTCCCTGCTCATCAAGACTAGAAGAATGTTATAGCCTGTGTATAAAAGTAGAATTGCTGACCTTGCCCCTCTGGCTCAGAGCAGAGGGCATGAACTGATGCTGCAGATGGGTGACCCTCAGTCTGGGTGATGGGGCCATGATGAACGCCTCCCTGCTGCCCTTCACCTCAATCCAGGGGATGAGATCAGCATTGGAATATTTGCTGAGTTTACTGGCAGCTGTCACATCTCCCTTTGACTCAAGCAGCAGTAGAATCTGCTGCATCCAGATTGTCCCTGTCAAAGAGACAGACAGACATTGTTTTTCAGACACCGTGTACAATTGCAGCAATTAGGTCAAGCATGTGTGTGAGTACTCCTCTCCTCTCCTCTGCGTGAACCTTTGTCCCGATTCCTCTTTGGAGTGTTTTCACACAATACACACTTGTCCGGCTGATCGTTTAATTCCCTGCTCTCTGCTGAAATCAATTTGCAGAGCGGGACGTTCTTTGGAAATGCTGCACATACTAATCAGCCTTCGCTCCTTCCTCTGCGCTGAGAGCTCCAGAAATCACTCCTGACCCGGAGTGCTCTCCCACTGCAGGACACTGGACACAACAGGAGCCTGGAGTGTGCATGTGTGCATGTGTGTGTGTGTGTGTATACTCTCCTCTCACCTGACTTTGGGTATGTGATGACAAACACATCCGAGTCCCTGATCTCCAGGTTGTAAATCTGGTCCACATCATCTGGATCATGCGTCCCGTTGATCAGCTTGATGCCTTTGTGTGGCACCAGTTTATGTGCGTTAACATCATTGCTTTCCATGATCACTAAATCAATAAAAAGGACAGGTGTGTTTTCCTCCATGTGTTCTTAGGCTCCTTACAGCCATTTAATAAGAGCCCAAAGTTATGCGATCATCGTGCGCTTCTATCAACATGTTGCCTACCTGCTGTTCGCTGCTCTGTCCGACGCTAAAGAAAAGACGTCCACACAGTGTTAAATATGATCCCCTCACTTCTTCCACCAGGAACACCTTTTATGATCGCAAATTGCTGCTATAAATACGTGTCCGAGGTCCCACCTCTCCTCACTCGCCGAAAAGTGGAGATGCGCGTCGCGCACGCGTTTTTACGCATTGAGAAAACGCGCAGCCACAGAGTACAAACAGAGCCGCTCGTTGACACCACACCCCTGTTCAGCCCAGCAAACAAAGTGATGACAGAGGAGTGGAGCGAGGCAAGGAGGCAGGGAGGGAGGCAAGGACGGAAGGAAGAAGAGAAGAGAAGGAAGGAAGGAAGAAAGGGACTCCCAGGAGGCTACTCTGTCGGTGGGTCAGGTGATAAACAGAACAAATCCTATGCTGCTTATGCAACATCGAAACCAAAACAAGTGTGTGGTGTTGCATAAGCTGCACTTCTAGTACTGGAAGTGAGACTGTGAGAGGGTGTTCCAAATAATACACATTCTGGATCACCAGTGCAGAGGCTGAACCCCTGACTACAGTTCACCTGACATGAACCTGACAAGCATCACTCAGATTCTCTCCTGAGTCCTCTCCAGTGATTTGATGTTTGTAACACTGGGAGGTTTGCTTGAGACATCTAGAGAACCAGTTGTGAAAAAGTCGCTTGATCAAACTGACCATGTTGGAGTGTCCCTATAATGGCAGCAGATGTAATTATAGATGAGTCCCATATTATGCTAAATACACATTTTAAAGGTTTTCTAACATGTCCCCCATGTGTCTTTGGCTAAATGTGTGCTCGAACAAGCCATTCAGATGTCTAGCACCATGTGACGTCCTACAGGGCTCCCGTTTGAGTGATGCTCCCCGAGCTGGGTATTTGTTCTGCCCACTGAATCCTGGAATATTGCTCTGGTGTTAGCTGCACAAGCCAATACAGAACTCTCCACGTTCTCCCTGCATCTGAGGATTTGACGACTGCGGATTAATTGTAATTTTTAATGAAAATGTGCTCACAACAATCATTAAAGTTTCGTATGTGTGCACTAACTTTTTTACGTCTGACTGCTTCCGCAACGAGGGCCAGTGCAATACTGGAGGCAGGACTGAGTTCAATACAATAAAATCACAGAAATGTGAATATCCACTTCCTGTAGGGCAGCAGAGGCTCATCTGGCAGCAGTGTCAGCTGTGCACATCTGGATACTGACTTCTTCTTCACAACCCTGCTCAGTCTCCCTTCAGGTGTACTGGTACTTTGAGGGAGCAACAGTTTGAGTCCAAATGGACAGTCTGCAAACCTCCCACGCTACAGCTCACAGGGACACCACATGCTCTTTCACCCATTTGTAAGATTGCCTTTACATTGGGAGGATATTCTGTCTTGTTTTATATAACTCCCTTGTCTTGCAGATTATTCTGAGCTTTGGTTGGTTAGACAAAATTACACATTTTGACCAATTTGTTCTATTTCTTTAATAAAACCTAAGATAATTAACTAAAAATCCACTTTATTTCATTTTTTTCTGCATCTGTTAACTGCAACAAACTTTGTCAGCTAATGGTGAATAATGAATATGAAAGTAATGTCATGGGTCAACTGATGCGTACATTTGTGAGTTAATATTTGGGGGGGAATCGAAGGGGAATGATACAATATGCAATACGTGGCCTGCAATTTTGATAATATCAGGATACATTCTGTGATAATCAATATATTGCAAGACAATACTTCAATGGTACAACTGATGAAAAACTGAAGGAAAATACAAAATGCCCCTGAATAGGTAGAGTTCAGGATTTGTGTTTATTCACTGCAGTCTGTCAGTTTCATAGACACAAACTGAAATAAAACAATGCTCAAAAGTCTTTTTACTCTTTAACAACCACACTGTAACTTGTATAAATAACCATTAACCGGTAAAAGTCCAAACTATATATTATAAAGTAAACTGAAATTGGCAGAAGCATATTGATAATTGTATCTCATCAGACAGAGTGATGGTATATTGCCTTATCAGTACTTTGTCCCACTCCAAGTAAATATTTGATTAAAAAATACTGAATAAATGCAGTTGTGATTTCCGTCATGTCATATCTTTTTCCCAGGGCATTGACCAACCGGCCGTCTCCCGGAGGAAACTGTATATCCAAGGTACTAACTCTCTTAGCTTCTGACACATTCAACTCATTTGAATTCAGTTTAATTCCATTTGTATAGTGCCAAACCTCAGCTCATGCATTGTTTGAGGGCAGCACCGGCTCAGTAAACAGATGGCAGACACACTCATTAAGCATGTGATGATTTCCCTGAAGGTTAATCTTCTATCTTATGAAAGTGTAATAATTCTTTACGACGTTAGTGGAGGCCTTTGACCTCATCCATTAAAACACCACATGAAAACCTGAGCAGCTGTTGAAATCACTCATCATTCCATTTGTATTGCACAGTAGAAGTTGAAACCCTGTTGTATCATCAGTTACACCAGTGATTCTCAAACTCAAACAGAGATTCTTCTTCCTCCAAAGGGGGCGTGTCAGAAAAAGTTTGAGAACCACTGAGTTACACAATGTGATGTGTGTGTGTGTGTGTGTGTGTGTGTGTGTGTGTGTGTGTGTGTGTGTGCGTGTGTTGAAAAGTAGTAAATGACTGGATGGCATGAAGAGCAAATAGTTTATTTGAAACATTTAAAAAAATTCTAAAATTTATTAGCAAACATCATTAAACAGCTTTTGGTGTGAGAAATACAAGATGTGTCCACAGTTAAAACAAACAGATGAGACAGAAGAGCTATCGAAGCGTGCCACTGCTCATGGGATCCTTTCAGCACTCAGTGTCCTAGAATTCAAGATGCTAATCTGTAAAAGCAGACAACAAAGAGTGTTGATACACAGATAAAGAGCATTTTAATCAGCACTCATTCATAGTCTGCAGATTTCTAATTCAAGTACTGAAAAGACCTTCAAACAAGGTCTTCGTGTGGTCAATGACAAGAACATGCACATGAAGTAACTAAACCTGAAGTACCAAACAGACGAAGGATTCAACTTGTTCAGTCAAAAAAAACAGCTAAACACGCGCGTGCGCACACACACACACACACTTCACCTGTTTCTCGTCAGCAGATAAGAGGCCATGTACTACCACCACTTGGTACTGTTTGTGCTTGAGGCTGCTGGGGAACTTCCTGATGTGGCGGACAGCTGTAGAGATGGTGTCCCTGCTCAGCAGCTTCCTGGTGTCTGATACGGACGAGCCAGGATCCAGAACCAAGAGGCAAAGGCTACCATTCTTCTTCTGCTCTAGACCCACTATGGAGTGGCTGTGACCTGTAGGGGGAACAGAGGAGAGAGAAAAGGGGACAACTGTGCTCAAAAAGAACTGGGTTACACATTATGTTTTCCTACCTTTTTGGAAAGAAGAATGCTGTTTGCATTGGTGACAGTGAAGGGAAAGACTGGCTGTCTGTCACAGAGTGAGAATGGTCACTTTATAATACATTACTCCACCAAAAGTATATTTCCTAACTCCCCTCCTTGTTTGTGGTTATGAAGCAGACGTCTCACATTTACCAACAAATGTTTGTGCTAAAGTCTGTGCAAAGCAATTTCCTGATGAACACACACACTAGAACAGAACACGCAAAGCACATGAGCAACAGACAAGAATCACCATGAAGCTTCCACATCTCAAAAGTTTAAACATGGTGTGGAAAACTTTCCAAAATAAATTCCCGGAGTGAATTCAGTGAGGCACATTAGGCTCCATCATCACCATGAACTCACAAGCTGTGGTTTATTCTGACTCAGTTACACACACACACGCGCACACCCGCACGCACACACAAGCACGCACACACAAGCACACACACAAACACACACACACACACCATGTACAGAACAAATGTACTGTTTCCTAATGTTTGTTTGGTAAGGGTTAGAGGAGGCATGTTGAGACAAAGTCGGTCTGTGCTGATGGACTTTTTTCTCAAATTTTCTCAAGATATTTTTGGGGCTTTTCACGCTTACTGATGGGACAGTAGGCGTGAAATTGGGCAAGAGAGCAGTGAAGACTTGCAGAAAAGGGCCGAGTTGTAACCGAACTTGCGGCCACTGCAGAAGGGCTCGAGCCTCTATATGCCAGGTACTTTACTTTTTTATATACAGAGTCTGTCTGAGTGTCCTCCATCCACACTCCTGCTGACCTGCACTCACTTTACTCTTAAACAATAAACACCAACACTGATCACAAGTTATTCGGATCTGAACAGTACTGAATGTGATGAGCAGAACACACGCACACACAAAATGATAAGGCTGTAATACTAACCTAATACAATACAAAGCTAAAAGTTCATCTAAATCATAACCATCAAGTTTACTGAGCTGTTAAAAATATATCATGTCCCAAATGTTTAATATTTATTCAAGAGCAGTTTTTGTTAACAGAGCCAGTGTCCATTTTATTTATTGTTTTGGTTGTGTGTGGTTTATGTTTTATTCATTTAGGATATTTTAATATCTGAGATAATGTTCTCATTCAAATGACAGACTGAATAGACAGAATATTCTTTAGAATTAAGTTATTAGTTACCTCACTCTGATCTTAAATCAGGACTTAACCCAGTTTTAATCCTAAACCGGATAAACTCAGAGTCAAGATAAAACTAAGACATTTATAGAAAATCTTGCCTCCTGATCTAACTGGAAACAGCACAGACAAACAGAGAGTGACTAATGTGAGTACAGCCTCTGCAGTCCACACTCCATGTACTGGAGTAACCTGATCTTGCAGCAACTTGATTTCAGACACAGCAGTGTAAACAGGAAACCTGAACTTATGTTATCAAGTGAAGGATTAGAAAACAAAAAGATCTACACATATTTGGAAAAACGCCAGTGTAGAAAGAGTATCACTGTTTCAGCAGAGCAGGAAAAAGATCATTAGCTTAATGAAAATGATTCGCTCTCCCTTCCACAAATATGTTAAAGGAGAAAAAAGATGTTAATTTATTTGGAGGACAGATGAGAGGCAGTTTAAAAGATAAAACTTAAGCAGCGAAGGCCAAGACAGCTTTTGCTCCCAAAAACACTGGATGCAACATTTCCAGCATCGCAACTCAGCGGGATCTTTTCATTCAACCTCGAGATAGTAAACACTCTCCTCTTTCAAACTCCACAACTCATAAAACCAGCTCAGTTCAGTGTCCACTTCCTTTCTCCTTATTGAAATTTTGCAAGC